GCCTACAAGTATCTCAAGGGAGGGTTGAAGGAGGAGGGAGCCAGACTCTTTTCAGTGGTTCCCAGTGAGAGGACAAGGGGCAACGGGCACAAGTTGGAACATAAAGGGTTCCACTTGAATATGAGGAAGAACTTTTTCACGGTGAGGGTGATGGAGCCCTGGAACAGGCTGCCCAGGGAGGGTGTGGAGTCCCCTTCTTTGGAGATGTTCAAGCCCCACCTGGATGCTCCTGAGTAACATCCTCTGACAAGCTCTGGGTGGTCCTGCTTCAGCAGGGGAGTTGGACTAGATGATCTCTATGGTCCCTTCCAACTCTAAAAACTCAGTGAAATTCAGTGAAATCTCCTCTTTTCACCCATCTGCTTTTCAGGAACCTGACGGCCAAGGTGGAAAGGAGCCGAAGCTGCAACGACACCATTCAGGAGAGATCAAAAAGCAGGCAGAGATCAACCCCGGCCAACAAAACAAAGGTATTTACCAGCCACTTCTGGAAAAGTAAAGGTTTTTTGGGTGTAAATGTTCTTATCTGAGGTTACGCAGCGCCCCGTAATCTGGAGATAATGAAATAATTGTGTTTGCGCCGTGTTATCGCCATGGGGCCGATGGCTTCCTTGCAGCTATAAATATAATATTAAAATAATATTATATAATATTTATATATTATATATTATTATATAATAAATAATAATATTTATTAATAAATAAATAAAAAATGAGTAAGCAGAAAAGCCAACAGTTTACAGAGCTGTTGGGTAGCGTTGGAGGATAATTGGAAGTTGGAGGATAATTGGAAGTTGGAAGGGTACTCATCATGCTTTTGTATTGTAATTAGTTTTCTTTTCAAGGCTGAATCCCCAGCTGATTGAAGAAAAATCTTTTAGAAATTCTGGAAAAAAAGCCTCTCTTCCTCCCCCTTTCTCTCCTGTTCTTTCCAAAGGGGTTTAAACAGAGAAAAACTCCTTCTTTTCCTGATGTTAGGAACTTTCTTTTGCATTTCCAAGCCATGGGAAGAGTTGGCCTGCTCTTGTGTCCCCTCGCAAACGAGGGCATTAACCATGTCCATTACCCTGTGGAACAGACCTGGCTTCTCAGTGGACCACAGGGTGTGGATCATGAAGCACCACTGAAAATCCCTGCCAGAGGGTTTTTGGGCTCTTCCAGCAGTAACCGCTGGGTTCCTTCCACTGGTTGGAGATGACTTTTGCAAACACGGTCTCGAGGGAGGTGATTCTAACCCTCTGCTCCGCTCTGGTGAGACCCCACCTGGAGAACTGTGTCCATCTCTGGAGTCCTCAGCACAGGAGAGATGTGGACCTGTTGGAGCGGGGCCAGAGGAGGCCACGGAGATGCTGGGAGGGTTGGAGCCCCTCTGCTGGGAGGACAGGCTGAGAGAGTTGGGGGGTTCAGCCTGGAGAAGAGAAGGCTCCAGGGAGACCTTGGGGCCCCTTCCAGTCCCTCAAGGAGCTCCAGGAGAGATGGGGAGGGACTCTTGATGAGGGAGGGGAGCCCTAGGAGGAGGGGGAAGGGTTTGACCCTGAAAGAGGGGAGATGGAGCTGAGATGTGGGGAAGAACTTCCTTGGTGTGAGGGTGGTGAGAGCCTGGCCCAGGTTGCCCAGAGAAGCTGTGGCTGCCCCATCCCTGGAGGGGTTGAAGGGCAGGTTGGAGGGGGCTTGGAGCAACCTGGTGTGGTGGGACGTGTCCCTGCCCAGGGCAGGAGGGTTGGAACTCAATGATCTTTAAGGTCCTTCCAACCTGAACCATTCCAGCCAACTTGCTGCTGCTCCTCTGCTTCTAAGTTCCTTCACAGCCTTCTTGGTCATCTTGGTTCCTCAGTGCGGTACTGAGGGATATGGTGTAGGGGAGGACTTTGTAGAGTAGGGTAGATGGTTGGACTCGATGATCCCAAGGGTCTCTTCCAACCTGAATGATTCTATGATTCTCTGGTTTGCCTTGCAGGTCCCACCCGTCACCAGCACGTCAACGCCGCTGGTTGGAGTTTTGTCGTCCACCCAGAACAACCGTTGCCTCTCGGCCCCAGACCTGACGGCGGAGAAACGCCTGGTTCTCAACCCCGTGTCCTCCCTCTCAGCCCTTCACAAGCCCGAGAGATCCATCAGCCCCGAGAGCAACGACAGCATCTCAGAAGAACTCAACCACTTCAAGCCTATCGTCTGCTCCCCGTGTACTCCTCCAAAGAGGCTTCCCGACGGCAGAGTCCTCAGCCCTCTCATCATCAAATCCACCCCGAGAAACCTGAACCGGAGCCTCCAGAAACCGACCACCTACGAGGCCAGTCCTAGAATCCTGAAAAAATGGGAGCAGATATTTCAGGAGCGTCAGATTAAAAAGACTCTTTCTAAAGCGACTCTTACGTCCTTGGCTTCGGAGCCCGGGGAAGACGTTCTCGTTCCTGACATCACCAACTCCAGCAGTTGCACTAAACAAGTTCAGGATGATCATCTTCCACCTGACACGACAGGAGATCCTCGCCCCGAGCTGGATTTCTTTCCTTCCATCAGTGAAACGAAGCCAACGAGGGGGAGTGAGAAGAGCAGAGCTCCACAGGCCTTAACCACAGAGGACAACGCTGCCGAACCAGACGTCAGATCGAATGTAACCTCCTTAAACACCCGAGTGTCCGAGGTCCCTGACCTGAAAGTCAACGCTTTCATGGACAAATCCTGTCTTAATCTTGGCCCCAAAATGCTGAGCAGAAGACTCATGGGCGTCAACGCTTCGCTGCCTGACAACAGCACCCTGGGAGTCCCCGTCAAGACATCAGGAAAAAAACAGCTGAAATACTTAAATAACAGCGAATTCATCAACGTCCAGAACAACACCTGCGGGTCCGTGGAGAACATCATCGGGGAACAACCCCCTTCGTTGAGAAGGGGCCGGAAAAGACGTTGCAAAACCAAGCACTTGGAACACAACGGCTCCGTCAAAAGATTGAGGCACGGGGCAGGGGAGGGGGGTTTGGCTCCAGAGGATCGGTTGGTCCGGGAGATGGAGCAGAAGCTCCAGCAGGAGGAGGAGGACAGGAGGTTGGCCTTGCACCTGCAGCGCGTTTTCGACAGCGAGAACAGGACAGTGGAGAGGAGGAAAGTGCGAGTGGATCGGTATCTGCTGCGGTCGAAGAGCACTCTGGGTGCTAAGTAGCACTGGTGTTGGACGATGTTGCCTTTTCTAGAGGACGATGAGGTTTATCAGATTTATCTTATAGGAAAACTATTTTTTTGTCATACTTCCACCCACGGCAATTGTTTTTGGTTTTTATTATTTTTTTTATTATTTTTTTTTGTTTGTTTTGGTGGTAAGACGTTTGTAGGTCCAGTTCAGAGAGAAGCCAGAGTCCTTTCAGATTAACGAAAAAAAAGAAAAAAGAACCAGAGAGAGAGGAAAAAAAATCCTCCATTGGTCTGAAAGAAGTGTCCCTGGTCCCCGTGAATACACTGCAACCCCTCCACGTGCAGTCGGTGACATTTGGGTTCCCCAACTGGGAGGGTTGTGTGAGCAGGACGTGGGGTACAGGATAAGGACCTGGTGTGGTCCTTGCCTTGTCACTTCGATGTGCCAAGAGAAATCTCAAGCTCTACTCATGGGAAGTAGGTTTTTTCTCAGAATCACAGAAACACAGAATCTTCTAGGTTGGAAGGGACCTTCAAGATCATCTTGTCCAACCATCAACCTAACTGACAAAAATAGACCCCCCCACAACAAACAAGGAGCATCATCACTAAACCATCCCTCCCAGCACTACATCAACCTGTCTTTTGAACACCTCCAGGGATGGGGCCTCAACCACCTCCCTGGGCAGCCCATTCCAATGGCTGATGACCCTTTCAGTGAAAAAATTTTTCCTAATATCCAGCCTGAACCTCCCCTGGGGCAACTTGAGGCCATTTCCTCTTGTCCTGTCGCCTGTGACTTGGGAGAAGAGACCGACCCCCACCTCTCTACACCCTCCTTTCAGGGAGTTGTAGAGGCTTCTCCTCTCTGCCTGCCCCGGTTTCTCCCTCACTCTGCATTTGGTTGTGGTGGTCAGATCGTTACCCACCTCAGCATCTTCCAATGACCTGACTCCAGGGCTTTTGGGGAAGGAGGCTGATCCCTATTTCTGCTAAGAAATACCAAATAAATCCACCCCTAGCACTTAAAAATGAATGTATCTCCCCGTCAGTACAGGTCACAGGTTATTTTCTTTTAAGTAGAAGGCCAAATTGGATGAAGAAAGGTGTAAAATAAGGATTTTACTCCTTAAAGCCTTATAGGAACTTGCATGTTCTTGTTAGTGAGCCAGCAGAGAGGTGGAGCCTCTGGGATCCAGGGAGCAAGAGCAGCTTTTCTCCCAATCCCTGCCTTGGAAAAGGCAGGAGGGTTTCATGTTCTTCCCACTAACATTGAAATCTTGAAAGGGAAACTTTGGCCAGGTGATTTTGGGAAGAAGTTCTTCCCTGCTGACACGTTCCCTGCAGGTTTTTACTCAGTTAAGAGATCTCTCAGCACAACCAAGACCTGTCCTTACACAGAATCACAGAATCTTCGAGGTTGGAAGGGACCTTAAAGATCATCTTGTCCAACCATCAACCTAACTGACAAAAATAGACACCCACACAACAAACAAGAAGCATCACCATCACTAAACCAGACCTCCCAGCACTACATCAACCTGTCTTTTGAACACCTCCAGGGATGGTGCCTCAACCACCTCCCTGGGCAGCCCATTCCAGTGGCTGAAACCCCTTTCAGTGAAAAAATTTTTCCTAATATCCAGCCTGAACCTCCCCTGGTGTAACTTGAGGCCATTTCCTTACACGTGCAAGAGCATCCTTAGGTGTCTGACACATCACCGTCCTCTTCTGGGCATCTCCTGGGACCAGGAGCCCAGCCCTCCCTGCTCCGAGTTGCCCATCTTCAGGTTCAAAACCACTAAGAAAAGCTCAAGTGAGCGATGCACTAAAAAATTCTACTTCAAGGCATGAAGTCGAGGAGGGCAGCCTGGACCAGGGCCAGCTTGGAGCCTGGAGCGGGTGGTGTCCACCCAGATGTGGCCTTCAGTGTCACCCACCCCCCCAAGCTCTTCATATTTTTAATGCTCTTCACAGAATCACAGAATGAGATGGGGTGGGAAGGGACCTCTGGAGATCATCCAGTCCAACCAGGTCCTCCTGGAGCAGGTTGCACAGGAACATGTCCAGGTGGGGTCTGAATGTCTCCAGAGAAGGAGACTCCACCACCTCTCTGGGCAGCCTCTGCCAGGGCTCTGCCACCCTCACAGTGAAGAAGTTCCTCCTCAGGTTTAGATGGAACTTCTTATATTCAAGTTTGTGCCCATTTCCTCTTGTCCTGTCCCTGGGCACCACTGGGAAAAGACTGGCCCCATCCTCCTGACACCCACCCTTGAAGGATTTAGAGGTGTTGATCAGATCCCCCCTCAGCCTTCTCTTCTCCAGACTAAAAAGACCCTCAGCCTTTCCTCATCAGAGAGATGCTCCAGGCCCCTCATCATCTCTGTAGCCCTCTGCTGTCCCCTTTCCAGCAGTTCCCTGTCCTTCTGGAACTGGGGAGCCCAGAACTGGTCCCAGTGCTCCAGCTGGGGCCTCCCCAGGGCAGAGCAGAGGGGCAGGATGACCTCCCTCGAGGTCCTCCATGTTCTTCCTGATGCCCTTCAGGATGCCCTTGGCCTTCTTGGCCACCAGGGCCCATTGCTGGCTCCTGGGCATCCTGTTGTCCACCAGGACTCCTAGGTCTTTCTCCTCAGAGCTGCTCTCCAGCAGGTCCCCCCCAACCTCCCCTGGTCTATTGGGTTCTTCCTCCCCAGGTGCAGCACCCTGCACTTCCCCTTGTTGAAGTTCATCAGGTTCCTTCCCCATCATCCATGACCAACACAATAATTCCCTTGATTACTTCCAGTAATTAGGCTCAAAACCCATCAGCTCAACTTGATACTTGAAAAGGGGCCTTGCAGAGTATTCACTGGGGACCCTCAGTGTCCACAGGGACCTTCATCCAGGGCGTTAATGATCGCACTGACCCAAGATAACGAGTGGTATTTTCAAAACACACCTCAAGCTCAGAGCTGGGGCAAACTTAGTTGAGGACAACGTTTAAACCAATGGAACTGGTCTAAGAGAAGGGTGATTGTCCAAATTCCTCTCTCTAAAACATGGTTGAACTTCTCCTTTTGTCTTAAATGGTTAAAAAACCAAAGGGGAATTGGTTTTCTTTTTCTCTCCTGGCGTAGCTGCAAGGACCCTGGCGCTTTTTCCTAATGGAACTGGATTTTATTTTTTTTTTTTTTAAAAGCAAACAAACAGAAAAAAAAAAAAAAAAGAAATCTTATATTTTAATGGATAAAATTTATATATTTTAAATACTATATTTCAACAGATCGACACTTTCATTTGGAGAAAAAAAAACTTCTAGCAGTGATTCCGTAATATATCTTATCTCTATCTATCTCTCCAGCTCCTTAACACCACAAACTACTGGATGTTTCAAGTCCTACCTAGGCTTTGGCTACTCCTCACCTGCTCTTGCTTGCCCTCTGTGGCTCGTGGGGCCATGGTTTTCCGTGCCCTCTGGGGCTCTGCAGCCTCAGTCGGTGCTGATTTTGAAGCAGGTTCTTCTTGTCCCAAACCAACTCCTGCTCCTGTTCTTCCCAGCTGCAAACTGGAAGGAAATTCAATAATTTGACCTTTCAATTCAATAATTTGTCCTTTGACTGGACCCAGAGAAGTAGCCTTGGCCTGGATTTGCCCTTTATAGTAAAATAGGAGGGAAACCTACAGCTTTTATTTAGAATTCATGCCTTTTTTTTTCCCCCATAATGTTTTGAGCTCAAGCGGGCGCTTCCCAATTGCATTTAGATTTTTAATTATTTTTCCAGGCCCCCTTCTCCCCTCCCCTTCCCTGTGGTCAATCCCTCGAGCCCAAATCCCACTTCCCTCCACAGTTTCCTCCTTTATCGCGGCGCTCGTGGGGGTTTCAATCCAGGCTTGGGCTGCCTCTGAGTGAGCCCACACCCCAAAAAAACCTACATTTACATACTGAATGTATCCTCTTTTGCCCCTTTTAAAATAGATTTCGCAGCCCAGCGCACCAGGCCAGTGTCTTAAAGATTTTCTTTTTCAAAGGTTATATAAATACTCCGTTTTTTGTGCATTAATTTCCTCTTTCTAAATCCGAGCTGGGCAGAAGTTGCAGGAGGCAATGCCTGAGCTGGAGCTTGTCCCCAGCCAAACCAAAAAAAAGCTTAATGGGATCCCCCTTCCTGCCCCTGGCTTCCCAAATCTTGCCTTCATTGTGGAAGAGAGGGCCCCCATCCTGGCAGCTCATGGTTCCGTTGCATCTGGGTTGAAGGAGACCTTTGGAGGTGGCATCATGTCAGGGTTGTGGTCCCAGCAGCTTCCAGTAAAGCATCAGGGTGGGATCTTGTCTCGTGAGGTCGGATGGAGCCGTTGGCTGCGTTTTTATATTCGTTTTTCCATCTTGTTGAAGGACTTGGGGGAAAAGAGAGGTTGTTTTCCAGCTGGCTCATTGAGACCTGCTCATCTTCTTCCTCAGCTTAACGAGAGCGCGACTGTCCTTGGCTGAAATCCACCCAAAGAGATGTCGGGATGGAGACTCAAGGTTGTGTGACATTAGGATGAATGTTTTCTTAATTTAACACTCTCTAAGTTCGTGGAAGCTTGCACACACACACCCACCAACAAAAAAATAATAATAATTGTATATAATTCCACTTAAAAGAGCAGGAATTCCCAGCCTCTACCCTTTCAAGGTGAGGTACGACGCTACCTTCACCACCAGCTGAGAAGTAAAAAAAATACCTCTTGCTGAAAGGTGGATGCAGCACGAGATCTGCAGAGGCTCCAAGATGAAACCAAGTATTTATTTCATGCTTCTAACCCTCCTCCTCCTCTCTGCAGCCACCTTCTCTCCGGGAGGAAGGCAGTCCTTGTGGGACAGCGCGGGCGGGCGGGCGAGCATCCTCCCAAAAATGTGAAGCTCTTCTTCTCTAGTGAGATAAAAAAATAAACCAAAACAGGTCAAAAGATGTCACGGCCGGTAGCGCTGGAGGGGCTGGGGTGGGTTTGATGCCAGAAGGGACCGTATCTGCCAAAGATGTCACCAACCTTGGAATTTCCTTTCTGACCCTCCGGAAAGATTCGTGTTTGGGGAGTCTGTGAGATCAGATAAATGAAGGAAAAGTGCCAAAAACAAAAAAAAAAAGAAGGGATCATGCGAGATGATTGTATCACGTTGTTCTCTAGTGTCAGTATTTTTTCTTCAGATGCTATTGTACCTGCAGTGCACAGCAGTCGACGAGGTGTAGCTTGAACAAAGCTCTTCTTTGTATTTTCCTCGACGAAAGGGGGGGAGGTTGAAGCCTTAAAAGACTTTTATCATTGATTTTAAAACCAAGCCTTTAGCAATGCTCCGAGGACGGACCCCCCCAGGAGCCTCCAACAGCCCCCCGCCCGGCGAAAAGTTGACCAAGGAGCTTGTCCTCCACGTTGGGGGGACCTGAGATGAAAACTTACCCACTGGTGGAGGCACCAGCACCGTGATGGAGACCCCGTGGATGGCAACTGGGTGGAACTGGGAGGCGACGCCGCTTTGAAGCTGGGATGATCCTCGCATGTGTCAGACACAAACCTTCCTCTTCCTCGCGTCCGTCAAAAAACCACCGCGAAGCATCGGCTCTAGAATTAGCTCTTCACTATGCAAAGGGAAAAACCCTTCAGCTGGGTCCAAATTGGGGGTTGTATATGCCTGGTTTCCTTGGTGTTTACTGTCAAACTGGTTTAAAACAAATCTAGATGTTGCTACACTTTATTTTTTTTTTAATTTCCCCCCCTGTAATGCTTTAAATCGTTGCGCTTTCGTGTTCTCCTCAGCTCGCCGGCGGAGCACCGGGGTGGGGAAAAAGACTTGTAACGGGTCGTTTTTTGGGGGTTTCAGCTCCACCACCGTGGCTTCATCTGAATGTTTTAACAAAAAAAACAACAAAATAAGCGATGGGAGTTAGCGATGGAAGGACCCTTGACTTGCATGTGTCAAAATGTGTGGGTAAAATGACATGCAGGCGTCTGTCATGTTGTGGCTTCTGTTAATTTTGGAACAGAGTAAATCCTGCTTGTGAAAAAAAAAAAAAAAAAAAAAAAAAAAAAAAAAAAAATTTGTCACAAACCAGAAATAACGCCGACTGTGTACAAATAAGCTCGTAGGTTTTAACAGTCAACGAGGACTTGGAACTGCAGGACAAAGGCCGAGGTTAAAACAGAATAAAACCAGGTTCTGACAGTGAAAAGTACCTGTTTCTGCTGAAGTTCCTGCTCTTGGGAACAAAGAGGATCCTGCTTCTGCCTGTCCCAAACGGGTCACAGTTGTCCCTGGCTGATTGAGATTGTTAATTAGTTTTGTAGGGGGAAAAAAATGGTGAAGGTGAGTAAAATGAGGTATTTTTCATGGAGGTAAGCACTTGGTGGGGTCTGTCCCAAACGGGTCACAGTTGTCCCTAAGGTTGTTAATTAGTTTTGCAGGGGGGAAAAAAATGGTGAAGGTGAGTAAAATGAGGTATTTTTCATGGAGGTAAGCACTTGGTGGGGAGTGAGCATCCTCCGTCGCTCCCCATCGCTTGTCCCAACACTAGTTAGAGAATCATAGAATGACAGGATGATCTGGGGTTGGAAGGGACCTCTGGAGATCATCCAGTCCAACCCCCTGCCAGAGCAGGGCCACCCAGAGCAGGTCCCACACAGTTACAGAATCATAGAATCACAGGATGATCTGGGGTTGGAAGGGACCTCTGGAGATCATCCAGTCCAACCCCCTGCCAGAGCAGGGCCACCCAGAGCAGGTCCCACAGGAACGTGTCCAGGTGGGTTGAATGTCTCCAGAGAAGGAGACTCCACCACCTCTCTGGGCAGCCTCTGCCAGGGCTCTGCCACCCTCACTGGAAAGAAGTTCCTCCTCATGTTGAGATGGAACTTCGTATATTCCAAATTTGTGCCCATTTCCTCTTGTCCTGTCCCTGGGCACCACTGGGAAAAGACTGGCCCCATCCTCCTGACACCCACCCTTTAAGGATTTAGAGGTGTTGATCAGATCCCCCCTCAGCCTTCTCTTCTCCAGACTACAAAGACCCAAGTCCCTCAGCCTTTCCTCCTAAGAGAGATGCTCCAGGCCCCTCATCATCTTTGTAGCCTCTGCTGTCCCCTCTCCAGCAGTTCCCTGTCCTTCTGGAACTGGGGAGCCCACAACTGGTCCCAGTGCTCCAGCTGGGGCCTCCCCAGGGCAGAGCAGAGGGGCAGGATGACCTCCCTCAACTTGTTGCACTGATACAGCTCTTTTTTAAGGGTACCAGACCATGGAATGGATTTGGGTTTTTAATATCTTACTTTGTGGCCAGTTTGGCACCCTGAGCACGCTCGGGTCTGGCTGGTCGGGCACGTCCCTGTGGTGTCTCCGTGCCAAGATCTGCCACGAGCAGCACCGCCCCGGCGTGAGATGGGGCAGCAGAGCCCGTTGCACTGATACAGCTCTTTTTTAGGGGTACCAGACCAGGGAATGGATTTGGGTTTTTAATATCTTACTTTGTGGCCAGTTTGGCACCCAGAGCTCGGGTCCAGCTGGTTGGGCATGTCCCTGTGGTGGGATGGGGCTCTGTGCCAAGATCTGCCTCCTCTGCTCTTGGGGCAGCGTCGCTGCTTTCAAGCTGGAAGCCGCTGCCTTGAAAGCCTGAGATGAATCTTGTCACAGCAACTCAATTTTCCAAGCTCAGGAGGGCAAAAATGGCTCCAAACATTACAAAATAACATACATTTTATCCACGAGGGATGCTTTTATTCAACCCCTGGCTTAATATTGCGGACTAAACTTTGGGCACCTTCTTGGCCACGCTCTTCTCTGGCTGTAGCTGTAGCTCTTTGGGGTTCTCCTGCTCAGATGTTGCCTCCACCAGAAGGGCTTTTACCACCTGTGCATCATCCAATGGCTTGGTCACCTCCTCACCTACGGCTGTGGCGAGGATCTCGAACACCTCCTGGAATTCCTCCATCAGCCTCCGTGCCTCCCGGTACGCCCTGGGGTTGGATTTCCTCTTTTGCAAAACAGACACTGGAAAAGGCCAAGGGTGAGAGGAAGAGCGATGGGACAGCACCTTGGATCTTCCCTCCCATCCCTCTGCCCACCAGTGGTCCCAGTTTCTCTCCCAACCCCACGGCACGTCACCAGGGCAGGGGCACAAAGGTGGCTGCTGGGATCCAGCTCTGGAGCCAGCAGTGTGCCCAGGTGGCCAAGAAAGCCACCAGCATCCTGGCCTGTATCAGGAACAGCGTGGCGAGTAGGGCCCGAGAGGTGATTGTCCCCCTGTACTGGGCACTGGTGAGGCCTCACCTTGAGTACTGTGTCCAGTTTTGGGCCCCCTACCATAAAAAAGACATTGAGGGGCTGGAGCGGGTCCAGAGAAGGGTGACAAAGATGGTGAGGGGTCTGGAGAATAAGTCTTATGAGGAGAGGCTGAGGGAACTGGGGTTATTCAGCCTGGAGAAGAGGAGGCTGAGGGGAGACCTTATTGCTCTCTCCAACTCCCTGAAAGGAGGGTGTAGAGAGATGGGGGTCGGTCTCTTTTCTCAAGTCACAGGCGACAGGACAAGAGGAAATGGCCTCAAGTTGCACCAGGGGAGGTTCAGGCTGGATATTAGGAAAAATTTTTTCACTGAAAGGGTTCTCAGCCATTGGAATGGGCTGCCCAGGGAGGTGGTTGAGGCACCATCCCTGGAGGTGTTCAAAAGACGGGTTGATGTAGTGCTGGGAGGTATGGTTTAGTGATGATGCTCCTTGTTTGTTGTGTGGGTGTCTATATTTGTCAGTTAGGTTGACGGTTGGACAAGATGATCTTGAAGGTCCCTTCCAACCTAGAAGATTCTGTGATTCTGTCCTGGTGCCCACATGAAACAGGGCAGCCCCAAAAGCAAAGGCACTGGTGGTCTGGAGCAACTTGAGAGTGAAATTGTGCTGGGTTCAAGCCTGGGCAGTGGCTCGACCGTAGGTGGCAAAAAGTGCCTTGATTTCTTGCCTCTCTTCCTCTGCTCTCCCCTGGTCATACAACCATAGAATGGTCAAGGCTGGAAGGGACCTTTCAGATCATCGAGTCCAACCATCAACCCAACTCTGACAAACCCACCACTGACTCATGTCCCTCAACACCACATCTCCCTGGCTTTTAAATCCCTCCAGGGATGGTGATTTCCTGGGCAGCCTCTTCCAAGGCTTTACAACCCTTTCTTTGAAGAAATTGTCCCCAATATCCATCCTAAACCTCCCCTGGAGCAACTTGAGGCTGTGTCCTCTTGTCCCATGGCCTGTTCCTTGGGAGAAGAGACCAACCCCCCCTGGCTACACCCTCCTTTCAGGGAGTTGGAGAGAGCCAGAAGGTCTCCCCTCAGCCTCCTTTTCTCCAGGCTCAACATCCCCAGCTCCCTCAGAAGTTCTCCAGACCCTTCTCCTTGTGCTCCAGACCCCTCACCAGCTCCGTTGCCCTTCTCTGGACACGCTCCAGCCCCTCAATGTCTTTTCTGTCATAAGGGGTCAATGCAGGAAAAAGGAGAAGCACCGGGGGAGTAGCCAGGTCCTGCTTGAGACATGAGTCCTGCTTCCTCTTGGGGGCAAAACCACTTTTACTCCAAGGCCCTTCTCCCACCAGCTGGGTTTGGGGTGGGGTTAATCCAGCTGTGGCTCCAAGGGACCCCAGCAACATCTGTGTTGCATTTATCCCTCCATTAACCAGTATCCAGAGCATCAGGGTCCAACCTCATGGTGGGCTGAGGGTGTTCAGCAAGCGAAGCCCTTGTCCTCTCCGCAGGGACATGGGGGGACACTGCTGCACATTCCCAACCTGACCTCACCACGGGGTCCCACCAAACTCAAGGACACCTTTATCATAGAATCATAGAATTGCCCAGGCTGGAAGGGACCTCCAAAGGTCATCTAGTCCCACCTCCCCGCAGGCAGCAGGGACACCCCCAACTAGACCAGGTTGCCCAGGGCCTCATCGAGCCTCACCTTGAATATCTCCAGGGAAGGGACCTCAACCACCTCCCTGGGCAACCTGTTCCAGTGCTCCACCACCCTCACAGTGAAGAACCCTCTCCTCATCTCCAGTCTAAATCTGTTCCCCTCCAGCTTGAAGCCATTGCCCCTCGTCCTGTCACTCCAGGCCTTTCTAAACAGGTTCTCCCCAGCCTTCCTGTAGGCTCCCTTCAGGTACTGGAAGGCTGCTATTAGGTCTCCCCGGAGCCTCCTCTTCTCCAGGCTGAACAACCCCAGCTCCCTCAGCCTGTCCTCGTAGCAGAGGTGCTCCATCCCCCTGATCATCCTTGTGGCCCTCCTCTGGACCCTCTCCATCAGGTCCATGTCCTTCTTCTAGTGAGGGCTCCAGACCTGCACACAATACTCCAGGTGAGGTCTCACCAGAGCAGAGTAAAGTGGCAGAATCCCCTCTCTGGACCTGCTGGCAACGCATCTTTTGATGCAGCCCAGGATGGGATTGGCCTTCTGGGCTGCAAGTGCCCACTGCCTGCTCATGTCCAGCTTCTC